GGATAAGAACCCAAAACCATTGCTTGGAGGCAGTGAATGGCTTGTATAAAGTTATTTTGGGTTAGAATATGATAAAATACAATGAATTTGATTGATTACAAGTGCTGACATACTCACCAAAGCTCTTGGTCGTCCCCAGCTTCTTTATCTTCTCGGCAAGATGGGCATTCGAGACCTACATGCTCCATCTTGAGGGGGAGTATTACGGATATACTAGGAATATAGTTGATATTATTCATTGTTCGTATACGTATATATTAGAGATATGTCTCTATCCCTTTTATATAGGATCTAGATAATATCACAGAGTTGTATAAATACTTGTGCTTGGATCATCAATAAGATAACACAACATTCTGGTATTAACATGGTATCAGAGCAACAATCGATCTAAAAACTCTTAAATTTTCTTTCTTTGTTTTTTTTCTCTTCTTACTCGTTTCAAGTGTTACAAAATAAAATCAAGGAACTCTTCAATAAAATTTGTTTTCTCCATTAAGTAAGAGAGATCTTGTATTATAGTAACAGACAAATAAAACAAATTGTTTTCTCCTAATCACCACGTGAGTAACGAGCTCTACATTTACGATTTAATTTTAGTATATACTAGTACATTTTTTTTCACAACAACCCAAAAAATAAAAACATAATAATTCAATAAATTTATTGGTTTTGTTTAAGGCGATGGGGTCATGCTTCTTCGGTGGATGTCATGGACCATGGTGTCATATCCATGGGGTAACTTCCCAGCACTCTTAAGAACGACGTGTACTCTTGAACCTCCGATAGCGCGTTCTGTGCACGCGGCTCCGCCATCGACGCTTCAAAATCTACGTAAAACATATACTCAAAGTTCTTGGCCGTGCCAAAGCTCCCGTCGCCAACCACCCTGAGGGGACGGTTGTGGTGCGGCCGGGACTCGATCTTAGTCAGGCTAATGTCTCTGAAAGCGAAAGCCGAGAGGACTTTGAAGAGGACGCTTGTTCCTTTGTGTTCTTGTGCAGCAAAGACTATGCTCGTCTTGAAAGGTCGGTCCGTGCGTGGGATTATAGGCTCACGCGCTAGCATTAGGAAGCGCGTGACGTTCCCGGGATCGTCTTGGATCCCGTCTGCTAATATCTGGAGATTGTAGAGCTCGGCAGCGCGTGCGCTTGCAACAGCTGCCGTGTCGTGGAGGTTGTTGGCTGCGATGTATTCTGCAGCTGCAGCTGTGTCGTGGAAAGCTTCACGCGCTGCGTGTGGTGTAAGGACGTCTAGGGAGTGTTCTGTCTGAGCTAAGGCTTGCGGGTGAGAAATCACCCGCGAAACGCAAGCTGTCCTGACTCCGGGAAGTGCAAGGAGGCAATGGTGAACCGGAATCTGAACTTCACCGACGATGTGGAGACGGTGACGGAGGAGAAGATCGTAGTTCCGATGTATCGAACCACCGAGTGAGTTCTCCACCGGAAGCACAGCTCTATCGGCGATCCAAAGCTCCACCGCCTGAAAAGCAACGTCGAACTGGTCACAAGGAATGGCGTCACAATTCGGATAAGCTTTTCCGGCGGCTGCTTCCGAGTACGCGCCGGGAACTCCTTGGTAAGCTACACGGAGACTAGAACCATGCAACGGTGCCGGAGATAAATCAGTAATCGTCAACGGCTGAACCGGAGCTAATTTCACATTAGTCGACTCAACCGGAACAATACCAAGATTAACGGAGCCGTTAGTATGACCATTAACGGCGGCGATTTTATCGGCTAAACCGCCGGAACTTTCAACGGAAGCAACTTTGCTAGACAAAATAGCACATGAGCTTTGCCAATCAGATCGACTCACGGAGACGCCGTTAGGGAAACTAAAAGACTCCGACTTATAACCGCACGTAACAGCCACGCGCTTTGGAACCGCGTGGGTGAAACGTTGGTTTTTAGCTGTCGGAAGAGATGATCGGAACTTGAGATCACACGACGACGTAGCTGCTTGCATGGTTTAGTAATGATGGTATGACAAAAATCAAAAACGGCGGCGTATTGAAAGATTTATAGAGTTTGAGAAGCTTGAGTTCTTTCGTTGAGAGAGAAGCTCAAAGCTGAGAGATAAGGGAGAAGTGAGATGGTCTTTTATATATACACACGAGAATAAGTTTTGTATTTTTTTGTAAAATGAGTCTTGACGTTTTGTAATTTGGTGTAATCCTTCACCTACCACCTTCCATGTAATTTCTATATATTTTATTTTATTTTTCTGAACGCTTTAGCTTGAAAGTAAGAAGTTATAAAATGTAAAAATAATATTAGTGTTTATGAAAATATATAATATTGTTGGTTTACGTGAAAGCGATATTAATCTTCATAGTTTTGTTACCATGGTTTTGTATTATATTGTTGGCTTACGTCCATAGATTTTTCTATCAATTAGTAGTGAAATTTTATTTTGTTTTTGAATTAAAAACTTAGTTACCCCCACTTTAAATGATATAAATTTTCTTACGAAAATGTTTATGCTTTGATAAAATATATATAATATGAGACATTTGCAGTAGTAGGCCTAAAGTCTCATTTGTCTTATGTGGAATGTATATGTCCACGAATAATAACAAGAGTTAGCTCACCTTTTTTTACTTTGACACGATCGTCAATATATATGTGAGTGCATGCGCAGACCATAATGGACACATATACTACATATAGTAATATATTATGAAGTTGTAGGTCAATTACATTTTTGAATATGTGTATCACTTATTTGTTCGATTTTGGAAAATATTTGGTACAATGATCTTATGATCAATCATTTTGGATTATTAGTATGAGTTTTATTTGATTTGTAACATAATTTTTTTGGCTACTGGATATTGAATCGGTTTACTCATTTTAGTATCCCTAGTTTCTAGTAATTAATCAAATGGTAGATAAAATAATTGGTTGAAGCGTGTGGTTTTATACATACGCAGTAAGAAGTTAAAAACATATGGTTCACAACCTTATAAATTTTGTTTAAACATATGGTTCACAACCTACGGTTTATCAAACACGTGGTGGGGTTTTCTAAATTTTGTTTCATGTACAAGTGTACTTCTTTTAAGAGATGGTTTTCAAAAAATTTAGTGCAAAAATTGTTACTCTTTAATTAACCTTACAACTAAAAGAAAATTAATTTTTGTATTTGAGTATATATACAAAATAGGGTTATTATAGTGTAATTTGTATAAAAAACATTATTGTAGGGCGTAAATGATAAGATTATAAATATATTCAACGAGATTCATCAATTCCACAGTTACCATTTGCATACAACTAAATTCAGCTAGATTCAACGGCTTTTTCAACAGCCGATAACATGTGTATATTCATTCGGGTAAAAATTCAGATAATAGCGAAAATTTTGGATATCAAAAATTACACCAATAGTGCTTAATTTTGTACTATACTATAATGCTTTTTTAAAATTATTTTTCTTAATAATATTTTGACAAAGCTTTTATATTAATTACTCACATAATTTTAATAATTCAAAATAGAAAATGGAAAATAATTCAATTTTGTTAATTTATTTGGAAAAAGTAACAAAAATTAAGCTAAACTAATTAATCAATATTACCATTTTAAAATGTAAAAAATAAGCCAGGTACAGTCATATTCCTCATTTACCATTTAAACCTTATGTTTTGTACAATATAAACGTACAAGTACATTGACTTAAACTTAAAAATATTTAATAGAAAGATATAGTAATAATATAATATGTAGAAAATACTCTAGTTTAACCATTAGTAAGTTGACAAAAGAAAAAATATTTCGCCCATAAAAAAAACAAATAAAAAAAAGTCATTTGTATAAACAAAATT